AAAATATAGCATCTTAAATTTTATTTTTAAAATAGACCATGTCTTGATTAGTCATTCAACCCATTTTTAGATTGAGTATCTTTATATATGCTTGTTTCTCAACTTCATGGCTTGTCTATAATTAATATTAGAAACTATTTATAGTAATTTTTTGTATATAAATCTCAAACTATTTTATTAATTGTATGTATTACATTTTGAGTTCATGATCAAATTTATCTTGTTTACTAGATTAGTGCATTTGCAACTCTAGGATATTTTTTATTTATGTTAATTTTTTTGTTTTTTGATATGATATATAGTATAACGGAAATCTAGTTCAAGCTTTATTTGAAAGCCAAAATTCATTTGAAAAAATCTCACTATTAACAAACTAAATGAGAAGGAAAATTTAATATTTTCATTCTCATAAAGTATTTTTTTTTTCAATCTTATCATTTAATATTAAATTTTTATTATTATTGTCTCATAACTTGAGTCTTAAATTTTATAAATTAACCCAGGTTGTTTTTATCTTTTTTTTAACTTCTTTTCAATTTCATTCTTCAATATCTAGTTTATTTAAAGTTAAACTTTCATAATTATTTTTATGATTTGCTTTTCATAAAGTTATCCCGGTCTCTTTATTTTATTCACAAGTTTGGAAGGTTAAGTCAAGTTGATTTGGATCGTTTTCTTTTCAATTGATTTTTTTTAATTTTATTTTCAAGATTGAGTTGAATGTAAATTGAGTTATATATATATATTTTTTATTTGTTCTCAATGATGTTATCTTAATCATATGACTCGGGTTGCGGTTTTGGTGGGTTAATTAGGTTTGCTTAATTTTTTTGGTTTTTTAAATATTTTTTTATTAATTTTATCCTTTAAAATTAGGTTGATTGAAAATTGATTTTCATAATTTGTTTCGATTTGCTTTATAAGGGGTTATCATTGTCTAATGACCTAAATAATAAAATTTGACAGGTTAATCTAGGTTAATTCTGGTCAATTTAATATATTTTCATCTTGATATTAAAAAACAAAAGATGTCTTGATATTTTTTTTAGCCAAACTATATTTTTAATAGTCATTCAAGTTTAGTTTTAGACCTATCAAGTTAACCACATCACATTGGGTCAACTCTCATATAATTTTTTTTCTTACTAGAAATATGTTACAACACCTAAATTTTCTTTTTTACATGAAAAAAATTGATCTAAAGGCAACATATTACAAACCAATGATTTAATAAAAATTCTAATAGTTCACATTGTTAACAATTAACAATAAAACACTAATAATTCACATTATTAACAAATTATAATATTAAAAAAAATGACGATGCTTTACTATTCATTCATTATTCACCAATAAACAAATCACAATTTTAATAGTAGATTTAAAAAAAATGACTAGGCTTTGGAACATTTATTAGATGATATTTTTGAAGCTTTTGATTAGTCATAGGGCTTTTTATTTATTGGTGTTTTGAAATTTTTGGATTGGTGTTTTGGATATTTTTTGTTGCTTTAGGTTTTGTTTTTTTTTTGATCCTTGTTTTTATAACATTTACATTTAACTGTTAAAATTAACAATTAATAATTACCAATCAACAATTAATTAAGAAAAAAAGTCAATATTCATTTAATGGAATTTAATGTTTTTGGATTGGCTTAGAGGGTTTTTATTAGATGGCTTTTCTTGATTGGTTTAGGGGGGTTTTACAGGTTGTTATTTAGAAAGTTTTGAATTGATTTTGGAGTTTTTAATTATTTATTATAGTTTGCATTTATATTTTAGTCTCTGTTGAGAGATGAGAGAATCCATGAATTCCTTTTTAATCTATAAAAATTAATGTAATTGTAAAATACTTAGTTTTTTTTTATAATTATTTGAAAGTCAAGTGTCTACCTAGTTTAGGCTTGAATGATCTCGGCTTTCTAGGCCATGCCAATTTTCTTTATATTTAAAATTATAAATTTGATTTTTTTTAAATAAATGATTAAACAAGGTTTTAAAACACACACATTATTTCCATACTTTTCAATTATAATAAAGATTAGAGCAATTTGATGCTAATGTTTAAATGTTTTATGGGGTAAAAAAATATTTTTTTTAATATATTATTTTTGGTGAAATACTATATTAAGGGTTTGAAACCTTGACATTTGATTATTTAAGAAAATTTACATCATGATCCTTAGTTTCTTCTATATAAAATCTTTTGTTATTATCTTATATATCATTGACCCTTTTAGATAAAAAGAATCCGTAAACTTTTTGTAATTCCTTTTTTATAATTGTCACTAGTTTTTTTTTTTTGAATATACCAATATCTATTTTTGTCCATTCTTTGAAGCTTTTCAAGAGTTTTCAACTACATTACTAAATACAAGCAATTAAAATAAGAAATTAAGAAGTGATTTATGATATTTTTACTTTCTATAATCACTACTAATATTAAAAATACTTTTTTAAAACAAAAAATTTATAAAAATTCTATTCATGCCTATTTGTTTTATTTACTTTTACCTTATGTATAATCCAAATATAAAATAATAAAACTATCAAATTGAAATTATTTTACAAGAGATCATTGGTTATAGTATTATTGATTTTTTTTAAATGAAAAGACTTGTACTTTTTTTTAATTGAAACAATTATTTATGTTCATTGACTCTTTTTATATTCACTACTAATATTAAAAAGATTTTTTTAAAACAAAAAACCTATAAAATTTATATTCATGCCTATACTTTGCAATTTATTTTTACCATAAGTATAACTCAAATATAAAATAATAAAACTATTAAACTGTACGGGACATCAGTGATTATGGTATCATTGACTTTTTTTTAAATGAAAAGACTTGTATTTTTTTTAATTGAAACAATTATTTATGATGCAAGAAAGAAAGAATAGAGCGCACCATCTTATTTTTTTAAAAAAAAAAAGACACGAAACTTTTTTATGAAAATATGATATGAGTAATATTGTTTTAATTTTCAAGTATGTTTATAATTTTCTAGCTACTAGCAATGGAAAAAATTGCATAAAAAATTAAGAAAGAAAATATTAAATATATAATTGAATTATATATTTAAAAAAATTATTTTTTTAATATCAGACAAGAACTCATGAATCTATAAAAAAAATGTTAAAATTTTTTTTCTACTTTTGTTCATCAAAAGTGAATTTATTGGTAATTTTTAATAATAAAAAATGAAGAGATATAACAACAAGCACGCCTTTTATTTATTTTTATATATTTATTTATAATTTTTCTCGTTAATAATATTTAATGTGCATTAAAAGATATGATATTTGATTCAAATTTCATTCTAGGAATTCAAATTCTTGATTTTTTATTATCTTATAATTAGGTTTAACAATTTTATTCGACCGGATACACATGCAATAAAAATACTAGTTCTATGAATAGATGTGAAGGCAATGTTGCAGGTGAGATTAGATAGAATTTTCTTTTAAAAAAATATTATGTAAAAATCTAAAAAGCATGGGAGTTTAACTGTAGAGTGACATTATTCACCCACACATAAAATATTACAGATCCATTATTTATTTTTTTATAATTTATTTTGTTACTTAAAATTTAATTTTGAGAATTTAATCCTATTTAAAAGCCAAATACTTTTGATTTCCTATTCAATAATAGAATTGGAAGAACAAGGATCATAATAAAAAAGATATCAAACATGAGTGGTGTGCTAGAAGTTTTAGGAAAAATACACTTTGGTTATTGCACTTTAAAAATAATATAAATTATATAATTTTGGCATCTCAATATTTGTCTAATTCAATTATGATGAAAAAGTTTATTGTTTTGTTATTTTTAATCTCTGGTTGAGAAAAGAGAGAAAGATTACCGGTTCTAACAATAAAGTGAGAAAAATATCATTGATATCGATTTAAACCATCAAAAGAATCAATATTTGTGTCAAATAATTCTATTTGATGAGTAGAGTTCATATTAGGTGTTTTTTTTTTTAATTTTAAAATTCATGAAAAAAAAAGATCTGAACTTGAGTTGATTTTTTATTTCGAGTTGATTTTGTTTTTTAGAATGATTTTTTAGTTTTTTTAAAACCATAAATAAGTACATCATGATTTCTAAGATGTTTTTTAATTATTTTAGATTAAAAATAAATTAACAAATAAGCTTTTAGATAAAAAAACTTCAAACCTTAATTTTCTAGCTATCATAATTGCTAGAAATTGAGCAATACCATATAACATATTATCTGATTTTTTTCCATTGCTTTTATACACAATTTTTTTTTTAACAAGAAATCGAGAATAGCTGGAGAAAATGTGACATTCACCCCATTATTTAAGAATGAAAAATGTTATATGTAAAACAAAACAAAAAACTAAATATTTGAGTTCTGATTTAAATATTAAAATTTATTACTTTATCCATTGTTCTAACCGTATACAATCTCCTGTAACAATCCTAACTCTCTTTAATGAAATTCATTTAATTTTCTGAGCTTGAAATTCTTATTGATGGTGGAAGAACACATATCACTCAATGAACAATCTAAAAAAATATCAAGGTATGTAGAACTAATTATATGATTAAAGGTAATGCGACAAAAGACATTACCTTCAATGGGGATTTCGACATTAAAAAAAAAAAAAAGGGCAAAAAGAGGCTAAATAATACTAGAATGAAATTTGCAATAACTCATGGAAACTCTGGTAAAAAAAAAAAGAAGAAAAATAAAAAAAAAAGACAAATGCATCAATTTCTAACCAAGTTATCAAGAGCCAATGGCAACTTCTACTCCATTGACCTTGTAAATATTGACCCCATAACGCCTCCTCGTGTTTTCGTTGGCCTCTATAATGGTAGTAAATTCTATCAAGACCCTAATGAAAATTTAAGCCAGCCCCTCTCTCTCTCTCTCTCCTCTCTCTCTCTGGATTTATGTCTTCGTCTGATCTAGCTCTTTTATATATATATCTCTCACTGTACAATCTATCCCACACTTTGATCAATAAGACTGCCTGACCGAACAAGCTACAGCTTGTGCCCAGTGCCTTAACTTAGTCTTAACTTGCTTTGGATCATCACCTGCATGCAGAGAATCGGAAAAATCCAAGTTAATATAATTCTGAACTCAAATATAAGAAGGGAATCTTTCTTTGTTTTGAATCAAGTATATGAAATTAAAAGTTATATGTTAGGAGAAGGCTTCTTCAAATATTAAAAAGCCAACAACGTCAAGTACTAATTAACAACATGCAATGTAGTCGTGGAGACTTTCTTTACCTGGGCTGCATATCTTCCAATCTGGATCGCCCTTAGGGCTTCCAAACGAAGATGAACGTGTGCCCATTGCTGATGATGATGGTGATTCTCCACTATGAGGTGTGGACACGGGGCTTGGCGATAGTTGCCGGTTAACGGCAAAATAAAGATCCAGTGCTGGTATCGTATTGGTCAATTGTTGCCCTTCTTCCTCTTTAAATCCAAATCCAAGCTCTATGCACCCTTTGAGCTCATTCAAGTCTTCATCTGTCAGGTCATCAGGATCTAGCAGCTTGTTTTTTCTCCCCTCCTGCATTAGTATCTGGCGGCGACGTCTCTCCCATGCTCTGTCACGTCGAGTTTCGCACATTGAAAGTTGCTTGGACAGGCGTTTCTTGTTCTTCCATATCAGGGGCGCCAATGGCATGCGCTCCAAATCTTCAGAATCTGAGGAGTTCAATGATGGTAATGACGACGACGAAGACGATAACAATGTCTGGTTTTTAGCCTTAATCTCATTGCCGTTGATCATCTTACAAGTTACAAATGACAGCGAAGGAGTCCAGGCACAACAACTATATCATATATAGGGGCTAAGAGATTGAGGTAGCAGCGACAGGAAAAGCTGTCTGTCGCGCCACCAAAATGGGAACAGTGTGGGACAGGGACAGGGACAGGGGCACCTCTGAAAAGCTTTCTCAACAAGGAACGAAAGGCACCAGCCCAACCAGGTCAGGCTGGAATTGATTGAGAAGGCTTTAATGGGGAAGAGAGGGGAGAGGAACAGGGGATGCGGCTGTCAACGCCTCTGTAGGGAGGATTTGTCAGCCATTCATTTATAAGTATGAATTTGGAGACTTTTTGTTAAATTTGGAAAGGGTAATAGCCAATTCTGGTCGTTTTGTTTCTATTTTTGAGAAATTAATATGACAAACAGAAGAATATAAGATTTCTGTTATATGGACTTCCTTTTCATTTCTATGCAGATTGTCATATGACACTTCTTCTTCTTCTTCTTTTAATTATTTTATTTTATTTTTTTGGATTTATTCCGGAATTTAAGCTATATTGCTGCCACCTATTTCGGATTAAGCTAGATTGGACGTTTGTTTTCTGATTTTTTATTTTATTTTTAAAAATCATCTTTTCTAGAAGCTGGAGTTGGGTAGTTAACAACACTAATATTAACCAACGGCTAATCCTTACCACATAAATAAAATCTAACATGTTCATCTAAGATAGCTTACTTGACTTTTTATTCAAAGCCGAGTAAAAAAAAAAAGTCAACCCAAAGTTAAATGTGCTTGACCTAATTGACTATAATGGTGAATCTAGAATTGAATTGACTTAAATAGATTGATTAAGAAGACTAACTCATGACATGATGAATTTAATTTAATTTTTTTAAATTAAAATAATATTATTTTGATTTTTTTGAAAATAAAATGATATTGTTTTGAATGATTTAATCAATTCAGGTTAATTAGTTCATCATATGATTCAAATTATAAATTAATTTGAGTTTAATAACTTTAATCATATCAAGTACATATTATTGACACGTGAATTATACTTTATTTATATTGTTTATTAGATTATTTACTTGTGATGTGCTGTGAGTTAGATTATTTAAAAAAACATTGAAAAAATATCTAGGTATCTTAACATTTTTTTAAGAAAGAAAAGAAATTAAATCATGTAGTGATTGATATGATGCAACCTGGTTGACTTGACAAGTTTAAAGTTAATCTAGACAACATGAAAAGAACATAATTCGAGTAAAAAAATCTCAAGATGATATTTTTTTATAAAAAAATATTAAGATGATAACATATTAAATTAACTCAAGTTAACCCAGGTTAACATGTTAAATTTATAATCTTGGTTATGAGATCGTGATAACCTTATAAAAGGTAAATTAAAAATCATTTTGAAACTAAATTTTCAATCAATCTAATATTAAAAAAATTTAAAAAATCAATTAAAAAGACAAAAAAACCTGAGTCAACCTGCTAAACATAGATCATGAGACCATAATAACTTAATAGAAAGGAAAAAAATCAATGTTTAAGGATGAAATTGAAGGGAAAAAAATGAAAAAAAAAAGCCTGAGTAAACCCATCAAACTCGTGACTTAAGTCATGAAACTATGTTAACTTTATAGAAAATAAATAGAAATAAATTATAAAATTTAATTCTAAATCAACATTATAAAATTTAATTGTAAATCAACTCAACTATTGAATGATAAAATAAAAAAAAATAATTACAAAAAAAAGAACTAAAAAACCCTTGAGTCAACCAATTTAACTTGTAAAACCCACGATACATATCGTAAGACCTGGATAACTTTATAAAAAATAAATTGAAATAAGTTACAAAAATTCATCCACACTAAATTTAATATAAAAAAAATTAAAAAAAATTGTTATAAAGCTTCTGTGAGGAGAGTAACAATGATATTTCTACTTTTCAATTAGTTCTTCTTAATAGTAATAATGTTCTTTCTATTTTGTAGATTATAGTCACCTTCAACAAATTGAATTTCATTGTCTAAACTATCAACCAAGATGCCTTCTTTTGAATTTCTCTTTAATGGTAATTTTGGCAAAAAGAAGATTTTAAATTTCTCTATCCATCTTCACAAAACTGTTTTTCCATTGTAACTTTATCCTAAATTTTGATACTGAAATTTTGAGCAAGATACCTCCATTTCAATAATTAATCACAAAAAGCATTCTCAATAATAAAATTTTTTAATTTTGTTTTATTAAACGATTTTTTTTTTTTTGTATTCATGGAATTATTCATGTAAATAATTAGAATGAACCGACGGTAACCAGATTTTCTGTTAGTAAATAGAAATTAAAGATTTAAATAAGATAAATCTTACCTTTGACCTTCAGTTGCATAAAAAGATTTACAAGTCATTTTCATGTCCTTTAGATTTTAAGAAGTGATGGGATGAAAAGGGGTTAAAATTTATATAAATTCGGAGGATATAAAATT